ACAAAAGCTTTTATTGAAAACCTATTTCCTGGGCACCCACACACACTCACTTCATATTTTCTTCTGAGCATTATTTTTGGTTGCTTGGCAAGCCTAAATGGATTTGCCTAATCACTGCTTCCTACACATGAGAACCCATTTTTTTCTTAACTGACTGCCCACACACAGACACCCTGGCTGCTTACAATGATCAATGTCTAACTGGGAGGTAAAGAAGATTTTTACATAGTATTAAGAAAAGACATTCTAAAGCAGTATTACATGTTACCCAAAGATTTCACAAATAGGAAAGAATAATGTTGTTCTCCTCTGTCCTGTTGCAAAAATAAAAACAGCCTCCAAACAAAAACGACATTAAGAATGTTTGAAAAGTACATTTGCTAAATACTTATAGCTATCCAAAATAGCTGAAGTAGCCATATTCCTGATTTTTTATATTAAAGGATATTGATGAAAAGGGAGAAAGTCAACTATTCAGATATTTCACCAAATCCAAGTATTTGACAAAATGTATAGAAAACTCAGTATATTAATTTGATGGGGTTTTCAGATGGATAATTTCCCTTTCTGCTTCCTGGAGATCTCCTTTTCAGATCCATCACAGGCTTTCAACATATCCAAAAGCAAATTTCTAGCATCTTTCCACAGAAATCCCTCCATAGTGTTCCCATCTCACTAATGGCACCTTAATCCATTCAATTGCTCAGCTAGAAAGCTGGGCCTCCTCCTTGACACGCCACACATCTAATTCATCAATAAATGGCATCGATTGTATCTCCGACACGCAGCTTGAATTCATTCACTTTTCTCTGTCTCCTCCAAGTAACCCCTAACTGATCTCTGCTCTCATTCCTGTATCCTTCAACTGATTTTCTTCGTAGTAGCCACATGATCTAAAACTGACAATTGAATTTTGTACCTTCATGGCTTAAAACATTTTCCATAACTTCCCATTGCATTTAAATATAATCAAACGCCTTTAAATACAGCCAAGAAAGCGATACATAGTCGGGCCCTTCCATATCTCAGAAATATTATTTCATATTATACATGGTCCTATCATTAGATGCAGTTGCAATTCACTTCTTTTAGTTCCTAGAAGGTATCAAGATATTTCTTACACTAGGGTCTTCATACAGACATGTATGAAGACCATCTGGAATGCTCTCCCCAACTCTTTACCTGGTTAACTTCTATTTGAATTGTTATTTTATTAATATATGTTTTTATTATATATAAATATATATTTAATATATTATATATAAATATGTGTAGATTATACAGTCTCAAAGGAGACTACTATAAACAAGTGTCACTTAGACTGTGGTAATGGCTTACAGCAGTCTCCTTTGCCCCACTGTTTGTTTCTTCTTTACAATCTTTCATTCAGAGCCCTTTTCCCAGTTATCTGATAGGTGTTTCCCCCACCAGACTATAATCTTGTTAGAACAAGACTATCTCTATTTTCTTTGAGAACCCCTCTATGGTAGCTATATAATAAATATTTGTTGAATCATTAATTTATATCTAGATAGCGCTGTATTTTATATTTAGCTCAGTTGGCAAGATGGCAAAATTATTGACATTTACTATAGTTAGCTCAGTTGTGACAATTATTGACACTGATTATAGAATACCCATGTTTTCTGCTCAGTGAAGGGCAGACAAGTACTTGTGTGTGCATGTAAACATTTAAATTCTCTGGAGCATATTATTGACTCTCCTGGTCAAAATGAATTATGTTTCACTCTTTGCCCCACTGAAATCATTGCTCACGCTCATCACAAAGCTGATTTCATTTTGTCTTGCATTAAAGTTAGTGGGCTTTACAATCATCTTTTCCTTTAGAACTTTTTGAGGACAGGGAATACATCTGATTCATCTTCATCCTCCACAGTGCTTAAGAGTTTCCCGATATTAGTTAAACATTGATAGAAATTTCTTTAAAATATATTGTCTTTCAGAAATAGAGAAACACTAGGTTGTCAGAAAAGTCATGACCTATTTTTCTATGCCTTTCTATGCAAAAATGCATCATGACTTTTCCAAGGACCCAATTTAAGATGCTAACTGAAGTTAAGATGACAAGTATCTTCATATTTAGCATAGAATCCAGTATGATTACTCAAATTACTTTGATTAAGCACTTCCTTTGTTTAAGGCTCTGAGAGAGGCATTAGGAAGTTAAACAATGACTGAAACTGTTTTTTTGCTCTGTAAATCAATAAGCTTTATATAGAGAAAGAAATCCGACCAGTGACCTCTGGATAGAGACAGTATAAGAAAGTGTGAATGACTCAGCATAATCCCAGTAAGCCAAACAGATCATAGCCCTCTACAGGAATTTGGCAGAAGCCTGTTTCCAGGGACAGTTTCCTACTTCGCCTCATCACAGTAGCCCGAGCCCCTGTGCAACCCCATCTCCCATATGCTGTGTGTATTTGCATTGGGGTATTGCCTGGGTACACCTGACTGGTTAAATTTTTACCCCTCCATGTCCCAGGTCAATTTGTGCCCCCATTTCAGGCTCAAAAGAGAAGACAGTCTGAACTGAGATAAACCAGTTGGAGGGGGCTCTAGTACCCAAAATAAAAATCCAAAAAATGTATTCTTCATACAATTAAGGAGATGGTCATCAATTTCCGATAGCCGATAAACGTGCTGTTGAGCAGCAGTCATTGAGTAACTCAGCTTGTGGGAGGTCTACACATGGATGCTAATACTTTGCTGAGTACTTAAAATTAGTATTTACCTTAGGGCTGTGCTGAAAATAATTAGTTTTAATTGAATTGTGGAATAGCTGTGTATTGTTTATATAGCATATAAATTTTTAATAGAAAAACATGTTTGCTCATTTTGTTTGGCTTTAAAATACCTTGCAAATATATTTGTAATAAATGGATATGGTAGATAGCCTTTCTTTCATACCATTAGAGATTGTGATATGACAAAGCTTTTTTTCACCTCCAGATTTAATTTTGAGATTTTAATGCATTTCAGTTTAACTCATGGAGGACCCCTAGTATTTCTATTACATCACCAAACAATGTTACAAAGGTTAAAACCATATGTAATAAATAAAGCTACAAATAACATGTTTATACAGCTAACATTTACTGGACGGTCTATTTGTGCCAGTTCTCACTCTAAATACTTTATGTGAATTGGCCCATATAACTTTCATAACAACTGTAGGAGTAAATACTACTTTTTATTTGTATTTTATAAGATGAGAAAATGAAAGCACAGATTGGTTGATTACCACAAGTCAAACAGTTTAGTAAACTACAGAGCCAGGTTTGCAATATAGGCCTTTTGGTTCTAGGTGGTCAGCATTCTTTTTTTTTTAAATTTTTGTTTTTTATTTTTGCCAGAGGGTGTGTATGCTTGCTGGAGACAGAGAGAAAAAAGGAAAGTGAGAAAATATGGCCTGTGGGGGAATGGTCTTGTCATAATTCTTTTTCCATTTCTCCTGAGATTCTGACATGTTGGGAATGCATACACATGTGCCTGTCCTGTTTTCTCAAACCCCTGGGCAGAGACTCAAACCATGCAGTCAGTCATGTGGGATCCAGCCATTCCAACCACCACAGTACAGACTGGCCCTAGAGTCTGCACTCTTAACCACCAGGTTCTATTGCTCACTGTGTGCCAACTACTAGTTAAATGCTTAATCCTCATAAACCCTATGGAGCAGATGCTACCTATATGGTCTACATTTTTTTTTTTTTT